TGGGGAGAAGCCCCATGAGTGGAACAGGGAGTTCAACCGGGAGAGAACGGGGCAGCGGCAAAGGGCAGCTGGTGGGGGGGGGTAGAAGGGGACAGCACAGAGTGCCCTCAGTGGTGTCTGTGTGCTTTCCTCTGTGATGACTCTATCCTGCCCCATGGCTGCTGAGTGAGCAAAGGGGTTTTGGTTTTTCTTGGTTTCTTTATTTTTCAGCCTAATCCTCTAGTAAATCCACAGCTATTTCCCAGGATATAAATCACTCATCTATGGTTGCCCATACGGTGGCAGAGGGCCCTGGGGCCTCTCCAAACCCTTCAGCTCCGGCTGCAGCACCGTGATGCTCTGTGGCACCAGCAGATGAGCACGGAGGTGGGTGGAAGCAGCATCACGGGGCTGTGTCCTCATGGCACCCATCCCTGTGCGCAGGGCTTTGGTGGGCGGCAGAGCCCTGTGATAGTATGGCAGCCTGGGAAGGAAGGGAGTAGAAGGAACCGGCTATTGTGCTTGGCCCCGATCCAGGAGGTGTCTGTGCTCAAGGTCAGAGCTGGGTGGGAAGCGTTCCCCGCTGGTGGCCCAGCACACGTGTGGCTGTGCTGCATGCAGCAGTGCCTCGTGCCTGGCGCTGCGGCAGCACAGGGGATGTGTGGTTGGTCGTTTCCATCCGTGTTTTAGAGGGAAAGGAGCTGCTTTGCAGCCACTCTGCAAAATGAAACCTTGATATCTTCCAGTTTCCACCCGGAAGGACAGAAGGGGTGTTGGGAGCTATCGGGGTGATGCCAGCATCACGTGGTGGTCCGGGAGCACCGCACTGGGCTCATGCCTGAGCGTGTGTGCACAGAGCTGCACTCAGGCTTTCGCTGCTGCAAGGAATGCTTTTCAATTATTAAAGGCAAATATGACGGGAGGCCCAATCCTGGCTCCTTCTTGCAGGTGAGCACTTTCTCGGCTAAGATGTACGGCACAGTTCGCTTTAGCAGAAGGGTCAGAGGCACGAGGGAGGGATGCAGGAGTGTTTCGGAGGTGGCACTGTGGAGCCGGGTGCCAGACACACTCCGTCACGGCAGCTCCACAAACCCTCTCCCAGTCTGCCTCTGTTTACACAACAGAGAATGTTTCAGTTGTTTTATGGAGGCGGATAAGAGCAGCGCCGGGGACAGGAGGCCAGGGCTGGGCTGAGGCTCGTGCACAACACCTGCTCTCCCTCCCGGCCCATAAAGGCATTTCATTCCAAACACGGCACAGATTTTACAACGCAATATAGCTTGGCAGCGCCTTTTACCAGGGTACACTCAGTGCGGGGAGGTCTGCTGCCCTGGAACAACTCCTGATCCCACACGGACTGTTCCTGCGCCCACGTTGCACGCAGAGAAACAGTGCCCAGGAGCAGCACTGCAATGGCAGCGGTTCCCAGTGGCCACAAGTACAAAGGCCTGCAGGCTGGGGAAGGTGGTGTCATGCAGTCACAGAGCCATGAAGGCTGGAAAAGCCTTCTCAGATCCCCAAGCCCAAACCCCCACCTTGCCCAGCGACCACAGCCCTCTGTGCCACTTCTCCGTGGTTCTGGAACACCCCCAGTGCCCCGCTCCCTGCTCACCCTGTGCCAGTGCACCACTGCTTCTGAGAAGAAGTTGCTGCCAGCACTCAGCTGGACCGTCCCCCTGTCCCCCTGTGCCACGTGCCACCACTGGGCCCCTGAAGAGCGCTGTGCTGGTGCAGCTGCAGCACTGCCCATTCCAATTCCTTCACTCAGCTCTTTGAGGGGAAAAAAAACCACGCAAACAACCAAATCAGGCTTTATCCCATTCTTGCAAACCTTCCTTTCTCCAGATCCCCCAGGAACTGCAGCATAATCCCATTATGAGGCAGTTTGGGTTTTACATCGCCATCCCTACAACCGGCAGCATCTTTCTCTGCCAGCACCGCAGGATGATGCACCCGCTTCCATTCGCACCTCATTCGTAACGCTGCTCTCTTCTCCCCGAGGACAGCAGCACTGCACGGACCGCCACCACCCCAACCCCCACACGGTGCAGGGCCCCTTCTGCCACCCTCTGCATCCACTGCACCGAGCGCAGAAGCAAAAACATCCACGGTGGTGATGAAGAGATGCAAGTGTGACAGAGGAGCTCTCGCACCGCTTACCGGGGCGGTCGGCAGCGCGTTGGTTGTGTTTAACAGGCATTTGCCATTAAAAACGCCTGTTTTTATTTAAATAGCCCCGGGCACATTTCTCGCTAAACCAACTTTCCCACGCCAGCCCAGCTCTCTAACTCTGCTTTTTGGCAATTTTTTTTCCCTGAGCTGTCAAGGCAAAATATATATAAGAACGCTGCTCTCGCTCGGGTTTTTTTTTTTCCAGCCCCTGGAGACATGAAAATAATTTACAGATGTGCGTTACCTGTTTGTGTTTGTACGAAGTTTTGCTCCGTGGACGTAATTTTCTTAGCTCGCAGTAACAAAAAAAAATATTCCCAGAGTTTCACTCGTTTAATTTGGACTTATTAAAACTTTTAAGCATGTGCGGAGGTTTCGGGTTTTTACATCACTAATCACATGGACGTGCGCCAAGGTTTCTATTAAAGCCTTTTATGAACAGTGTTTTTAAAAGGCTCTGAAACCCCCATTGCATTTAACCCCTGAAACCGCTCCAACTGAGAAACTCGCTTTTGGGTTGATGTCACATCCACCTCGTATTGCAAAAAGATGTGCGCCGTGCGTGGGGTTCTGCCTCCTTCCTTCCTCCCCTTCTGCTGCAGGAATCCCTGCAGGAGCAATGGGTGGGCAATGGGACAGCACAGAGGTGGCTCAGGGTGCAGCTGGGGCTGGCACAGAGGGCACCGGGGCCACAAAACTGCGTGTGTCCAGGTTGGGTCCTGCCCTGTGCCATCACCCCGAGGCACACGGTGCTGCCACTGCATCCATGCACAGCGGCCAATGCCACCTCCCCACTGGTCCCCACTTTGGCACAGGGCACACTGGGGACCCCGGTGGCCACCTGTCTGAGGGCATTTCTGTAGATGTGGGGAAGGAAACGCAGCACGGTGAGAGGTTCTGCACGCAGAGAACATGTCCGGGCAAAGCGAGGTTGCTGCAGCAGGAGGGAGAAAGGGGAGAAAGATGGGGGGAGCAGAGCACAGATCCCCATAGCCAGAGGGTGGTGGAACTTCCAGGGGCCACTGCACGTCTCCAGTGGAGGTGACACAACCTGGTGGCACAGAGATATCGCTCAGCCAGGGCAGGGGTAAGGGCTGCATCCCACTGCACAGCCACTGCAGGGGGTGGGACGGGGGTACCCACTTCCCAAAAGGTGCAAAAAGTCCGTGCAGGTGGGCATTACATCAAATTCCTGCACTGTTTTGCATCTGCTTACCCTGCCCCTGTCCTGCAGCAATGCAGCAAAGCAAAGCGCGTGGTTCTGGGATGCTCTGAAGTCCTGCACAGCTCTTGGCATCACCCAGCCCCCATGGCCCCACGTCCCCCAGCCCCCAGTGAGCACCCCAGAGCCTGGCCTGTTCCCTTGTGGGAAGAAGGGGAAGGAGCAGAATGAGGGAGTGCTTCAGGGCTCGCAGCTTTGATCTAATGAGCAGACTCTGCCCTTCGGTTTGTTTAATCGTTTCACACTTGCTCTGGAAATAATTTACAGCAGGAAGCAGTGGGATAGCACCATGGCATGGGCTGGGATGAACGCAGTGCTGGTGCGGGGATGCCCTGCGATGGGGGGCACAGGTGGGGCAGCCCCTCTCCATCAGCCCAGCACTGACCCCACTGCCTCTTCCTCTTCCAATGCTTGGAGTCCCACGCATCCCCACGCACATATAGGAGTTTCAAGCCTCGGTTTTGGTTGCTGAAGTCACAACCTGGTTCCAATTTGCTGCCACTGCTGAGATGCGATGGGAACTGTGCACACTGCATGGGGTGACCTCATGGGGGGAGCCGTGCTGGCAGCACAGGGGGCTGCCCTCAGGCCCAGGACACAGCTGGATTTTGGGTGGGACATGCCCATGCTCCCATCCTACAGGATCCAGGGCAGTGCTGATGGCTGGAGGTGGAGGCGCTGGGACCTGCACCACATGCAGGAGCTGCACACGCCTGCAGCTCGTGGGGCTGCATGGCAGGGTTGGCTGCTCGTCTCCCCTCATGCATTTGTTTGTTTGGTTGTTGCTGCAGCACATGGGCTGGGCTCTGCCCCGAGTTTAGGAGCCCACAGCACAACACAGCAGCACCCTGCCTGGCCTACAGGTGGGAAACGTCTCAGCAGCCCCGTACACATCTGCAGTGGGTCAGAGGTGCACTGCACTGTGGTGGGGGGAATCTCACCCCTGTTGGGGTGCTGAGCAGCTGCTGCGACCCGTGGGGCTGGGGGGGGGGCTGCACAGGAGCTGCAGGAGGTTGTGTAAGGCCCTGGGATGGGGCTGCACAGAGGCTGGGGGCTCTACGGGAATGGGGGCGAGGGGTTGCACTGGGGGAATGTAGGGACTGCATGGGGGGAGTTAAACGGGGGGGCTGCACAGGGGTGTCTGGGGCTGCTTGGAGAGTCCGAAGCTGTTTGGGGGCTATGCCAGACCTCCCCCCCCCCCCCTGCATAGGGGGCCCAGGGCAGTCTGGGAAGGTTCACGGAGGGGCTCCCTAAGGGTGTCAGGAGCTGCCCCGGGTCTACCCAGGGACCGCAAAGCGGTGCTCGGAGCCGCAACGAGCTACGGAGGTCTGCGCAGAGCGATCCAGAACCGCACTGGAGCCGTAGCTACGACCGCACCGGAGCGTCCGGAGCCGCTTTGTGGCCGTGGTGGGGAGGGGGGGTGGGATCCCAGCGCTGCCCCCCGCGCCGTGCAGGGAGGGGCGTCCCGCTCCGTCCCATCCCGCGCCGCTCCGCGCCGTCCCGCCCCGCGCCGTCCCGCCCCCCCTCCGCCCTCCGCCCGGCCCGGCCCGGCCCGCGGGGGCTGAGCGGCCGCGGGAGGCGCCGGCGCTCGGAGTCGCTGCGCTCGGCGTTGGGGCGCGGTGTGTTCGGGGCTCCCGGCGCGCGCCGCACGGCTCCGGTTCCGCTCGGTTCCGCTCGGTTCGAGCCGGCTCGGCCGGCGACCTCCGGATCTATGCGGCTGTGAGCGGCGGGAGCAGAAAGGGATGAAACGGCTCTTGGCCACGGGGCTCCTGCTGGCCCTGCTGCCCGCCCCGACGCGAGGTGAGGGCCCGGCCCGGCTCCGGCAGGAAGTTTGCCGGCGGCGCGGCGCGGTGTAGGCGAGGCGAGGCTGTGCGGTGCGGTGCTCCGCTGCGCTCGGAGGCGGCGGGGGATCCGCGGGAAGCGGAGCGCGGGGCCGCCGGGAGGGTCCGGAACTCGGAGTGCCGCGGGGGGAGCGGGCTGAAAAACGGGGACGGAACTTTGGAGTTCGGTAGCGCGGAGTTCGCGTGCGGGGAACCGAGCGGAGGGGGAGCGGGGTCGGTGATCCGGGACCGACCGCGGGGAGCCGAGCCGTCGGGGAGCGGAGCGAGGCGCTGCGGGCAGGCGGAGCTCGGGGTCGCGATAGCGGGGCGCGGAGCCGTCGGGGGTCCCCTGTGCTCGGTACTGAGGGCCGTGGGGGTCGCGGTGCCCGGTTCTGAGGATTGTGAGGGGTCTCGGAGCTCCGTACTGAGGACTGCGGGGGTCCCCTGCGTGCTCGGCACTGGGGGCTGTGTGGATCCCGGAGCTCGGCACGGGGCTCGGCTGCACGGAGGTGCGCACAGCGGGCGCGCTCGTGCTGTTGTTCCGCGAGAGTTTTTGACCGTTTTGCAAATTTCTCTCGGTTTCCTGTTTCTTGAAAGTCAGCCGGGTGCCCCTCGGCCCCCCTCCTGAACACCCCCCCCCCCCCCCCCCTTTCCGCCTCCCCGACATCGGCCCCGGGGCGGATCCGTGCGCAGAGCCGCAAAGTGCAGAGCTGCCGTCGAGGGCCGAAGGGGTGGGGGGGGGAGGGGTGGGCAGTGGGGCCGCCCCGACGGGCCGGGCAGAGCTGGAGCCTCTCGGGGCGCTGTTTGTAGGGGCAGAGCGAGGCCCGCTCCCTGCTCCATCCACCGGCGCTGACGGGGCCGCTCCGCTGCCGTCGGGGGGAGGTTCGGTTCGGGCTGCGGCTCTGCGTTCGCTCAATGTGAAACTGCTTTGGCTGCACCGAGAGCGGCAGAAGAAGGGGAAGAGTGAGCCGGGGTGGAAATCGGAAGTGAATCTGGTACTTTTCAGCGAGTTGCTGTGGTAACTGAGCAGAATCCGGCTCCGAGGGCCAGACAATGAAACCTTTACTCATAGCAAGTTGTGCCGAGCCACTCATTCCGGGACTGAGCTCGTGGCAGCCCACGGGCCAGCAGGCAGATGGTTTTTCCCAAATGGTGTTTGTCACTCAGATGTCCTACCCGGTGCTGCTCCCCATCCGCCCTCCTGCTTTGGAAGGCACAGCCCTCCCCAAGGACCACCCCAGGTTATCTTTAGGTCTCCCCTTTCCTCACTGGGGCACTGTAGTCCTGCCCATTCCCATGGTCCCTATGAGCCCATCCCCGCAATGGGGTGCAGACCCCCGGGCTCTGAGCTGTGCCTGATGCTCTCCTTCTGTTCACAGGTGTGCGGTGCACGCAGCTGGCCGAATCCTGCCTCAACGGGGGCAAGTGTGAAACATTCCTCAATGGGACAGAAGTGTGCCAGTAAGTATGGAGGGGCAGGAGGATTTCCATCTCCCTCAGCTGACGTGCCTGTTGACTTTGCTTTGAAGGCTCTGGATTTAATAGGGCGAAATGCGTTTTCATTCCTGGAGTGGCAAGAATAACCTGCTCGTGTAGGAGTCGCTGCGGGTTTGGCAGGATTGGGCTTTGTTCCTGGCTGGGTGGAAAAACATGGGCAAAGGGCCATGTTTGGCTGGTGTTAACCCATCAGAGTGCCCTGCTGATGGAGCGGGAGGGATGGACGACGGGGGGGTGGGAGGGCTGTCTGTCTGTCTGTCTTCCAGGCCCCCCGCCCCCCCCCTTTTCTGGCCCCATAGCATTGCCCTCAAGTCCCTGGCAGCTGGTTTCCAAGGCATCTCCAATAAGTATCCAAGGATGGTTGTGTCGTGTGGGTGTCCATCCATGGGGCAGTGCCTGCAGTGCCACGCTGCCAGCCGTGCCCGCTACTGGCACGGGGTGTTCTCAGGGCTGATGGTGGGGAAGCGGATGTGTAAAGCCTTGGGTCCCTTTGAAGGACCACCCGACCCACCGCAGCGATGGCCGATTCAGTCCGGGCTCCCAGGGAACAATAACCCAGAGAAATGAATAAGAGTGCAGTTCCCTTTTTAAAACTATTCCATAAAAGAAATCTGAATGGGCAAGGCTCTGCTTTCCGGCCAGATTTCCCTTCTGCCTGTTAAACATGGGCTGAGCTGAGAGCGGGCCGGGAGACGTTCCCACCCACCCCAAGTTTCCCAATAGGAAGTTCTCGGCGAAGGAACCTGAAGGCATTTCCAACCCCGACCTGTTGAATGGCACTTCTCCTTGACAATGCCTGCTGCTTTTCTGCAGCTCTGGGTGCCGTTACTCTGCCCGCAGCGCCCAGGCAGCCCCCACCCCTCCTCCAAGCGGAGCCCCCCAAAGCCTTTGGTTGAAAATAAATCAGCAAATCAATCAGGCACATGAGCAATTTAATGGACAAAGGCTGGGTCCCTTTGTGAGCCACTAATGAATGCACGCCACTTTTTTTTTGCACAGAAGCCCTTACCAACGCTTGACGCTCTAAATCTTGTTTTCTTTCATTCAAAGAGCGACAGCTGGGATTCGGTCGAAATTCGGCAGCTATTGTTAAGGGAGGCAGATTAATGCTGTGTGACTAATCATGTATGGCTTCCCAGAATGCCCAACCCTCCGCCCCCTCCCCAACCTTACACCCCTCCTTTTCCTTGTGGTCATTCTTTCCTTTTTTTCCCTTAAGTCTCTGCGACTCCTGATTTACATTTCATGTGCAGATGGTGATGGAATCTAATTAGGTCTGATGCGTGCGAGCTCCGTTTGGGGGAGAAGCCTCCAGAGTAGCTCGGGTTGCTGGGCTTTCAGGAGATAAAGTTAACTTTGGGGAATTGTATCACTGGGAGCTGTGAACAGCCTGGCTGCAGGCACCAGGGCAGCTCTGCAGGTCCGTGTGAGCTCATTTTGCAGTAAGCTGTGGGGTTGGATGGGACGATATTAGGGACGCTGGCAGCCTGGGCAAGGTGCAGCTTTCCCAGGTGCCCGACAGCAGCCTGCAAAGTGCTCTTTTTCACTGGTTTGAGTATCTCTTCACCAGGAGCTCCATTTCCAAGCTCCTCAAACAAAGCAAAGCCAGCGGCGCAGATAGCGCTGCAGGAAGGCTGGCACTGCCCCTGGCGCCGGCGTGCAATGCCGTGTGCTGGCTGCTGGCCACCTCTCTGCTTGGCCTGGCACTTCACTGACTCCGGCCATAAAGCCCCATTGTGCCGTCCCCACAAATCCAATTAGAAAGCAGAGTGAAATGAATCGTGTCCGAGGGGACGCTGCTCGAGTGGCCGCGCGGGGCAGAGCCGGCTCTGATAACTGCACGCCCCATTATCAGCCCTGTTAGGGAAAGGAAACCACCAGTGTGCAGTGAGGAGCACTCTAAGCCTTTATTATTTCCCAGTGGTTTGGGGTGTGCAGCTCTCAGGGCCTTATCTTGCTTGTCCCGGCCAGGGTTTGGGGCTCCCACTGAACTCAGCATTGGAGGGGCTCTGTCTGAGCCCCTAAGAGCTGCCTGCCCCCCCTTGGTGGGAGCAGCGGTGCGGATTGGGATGCTTCACCCCACACGTAGCATTGGCGCAGACCCACAGCCCCCAGAGGTCTGGCCCTGGGGATGGGCCTGGCAGCTGTGGTGCTCCTAGCGTGGTTTCGTGGTACTGCTTGGCACAGTGGCACTCTGCTCTGACTGAGACGTCTTCCCAGACCAAATGAGAAGGTTTCCAAAACGAAATCATCCGATCGTCATAGCGGTGGCTGCTAATTACACTGCTGGATCACTGTCTCTGCCTGGCATCCCCACAATGAATGGGGCTGATTTTAGGCTGCTGTGCCACGTGACTCTCATTCCCAGGGCCTCCCTTGCTGCAGCAGGTAGAAGCAGATGGCATGAGAGGGGGCTACGTTTCTAGCCCTGCCCCAGCAGCATCTCTCTGGATCCTTTTCCACTCGGCATTGCCCCGTTCAAGTCAGTAGAGGGTCTGGGTCAGCACTGCTGCCCAAAGGAGCAAAACTGCAGAGGAAAAGAGCAATGAAATTAATCTCTGTGCTTGCACTGAAAAAGGAGAAAAATGGGTTTGCCAGAGTGCTTCCTCTGCTGCCAGGGAGTGTGGTGAGCACGCTGGGCTGGGTGCAGTGAGAGGAGCACTCAGAGAGGACCGCAGCAGCAAGAGGTGGCTTGTTCAGCTCAGAACCTTCTCTGCAGCCACGCAGGAAGGCTTGAGGAGTGATGTGAGCCCCACAGCACGCTGTGCCCTCCGAGTCACTGACTGCTCAGTCATTGTTATCTCACTGCAAAGGGCGGAAGTTTCCTTCTGCTTTGGTTTTTTGTTGGTTTTGTTTTTTTTTTTTTTTCTGTCTCTCATGTGCTTTAACTCAACGTTATTTCCATGAAATAATAACAAAGAAAAAACCACCGTCTCCGTGCTGGAGAGGAAGAGGGTGGAGTGCTGAACAATCGGGCAGAGGAAGCCCTGAGAGCGGTGGAGGAGCAGTGATTCAGCCACAGGGAGAGCTCTCCATGGCGGCTGCAGCCTGAGCTCATTCTGGGAAAGAGCAAAGTGGGAATGGGTGAGAGGGGAGATGGGGGCACAGAGCACCACCTGCTGCACTTCTAACTGAGGAACTCGCTGCTGGGGTCACCAGGACGGCGGTGTTTTGGCTCTTTTCTAGAAGGATCTGCCTGCGTCCCGCGTCTCTGTGGTTATCACTGACTCAGGACGTGTCGCCGACCCCATAACTCACTTTGTGTTCTGGGTAGATTGCTGATTTCTGTTTGGATATATGTGATGGGGTCTCCATGCTGGCTGCAATCCCCTGCGTTCAGTACGGCTGTTCCCTGCAGGACCCATTAGTTCCAGCCCAGCTCCCACCTCCGGGGTGGTGATGGTTTATTGTATGCAGCATGTAGCTGACACGTATCTATGACCGCACAGCCAAGCTGTTCCCCAATTAAGGGCAGTTAGCGAAGTTTAAAATAACATTGTTTGGAAATCAACTCGCTCTTTCCAGGCCTGGAGGTGTGGTGACCCTCGTTCTGCTCGTGTTTGTAGGTGTCCTGAGTGCTGTACATGAGTGGAATGTGAAATTTATAGAGCATCAGTGTATTTAACAAGGGAGTAGCCTCGGGGTGCAGTTACCACGAGCTGGTAAATGCTGGATGGAGAGTTCTCTGTGGCTAGTGTAACTTCAGACATTGAGGTTTCATACTGTGTATTGGACTGGAAGAGGATGGGATGTGCCTTGGAAGTCCATGCAGAGGGCTTTTGCTTGAGTCGTGGCACCTCACTGGGTTTGGGGTGACCCCATCCGTGTGTCTGTGCCCACAGAGGGCTGGCTGCCATTTTACCATCCTTTCCTTGAATTCCCATCCTCCAGCCAGGCTACACAACCACAAAGGTGCGAGCTTGTATGTCAGCTCCTTGGGATGCTCCTTGGGGTTGGCCTCCATGGGTGCTGGCAGCAGCAGGTCTGTGCCACCCCCAGCACGAATGCCCTGAGCCATGGGTACTTGTTGGGTCTTCACCAGACCAGGGCTGGACTCGTGCTTTGGTCTGAGGCAAATCTGCTGCACTTTGTATTGGCCAGAGGCACTGCTGAGCAGCATGTGGGCTGAGCAGCAGGAATGCTGTGTTGCATCGAGGCTTCTAGGAGCAGACACTGTGTGGGTCTGATGGTGTGTGATGGTGGGAAGTCTTTGCAGCAACCCAGATTGTGGCAGCTCCCACCTGCCGCTCAAGGCCCAGGACAGTGAGCCGTGGCACCTGGTGACATCTGCTCCAGGCTTTCACCCATCACCTCTTCCCCTTCCCCCACAGCAGACTGGAGTTAATATTGGAAAAGCCAGTTAAAGTTTAGGCTGTGGTTATTGGGCCCTCGCACGTTTCCAGCAAAGGGAGCAGAGTTGCATTTTAATGGGAAACTTTCACGCTCGGTCAAGTTGCAAAAATTTGCGCGCAAGTCATTTTCTCTTAACAAGTTTTCACCCTAATTCCCTTCCCCGAGATCTGAAATTAATGGTATTTATATGGGAAATGGATTTATTAAGTAGTAATGATGCCGTAACGTCACCTTTCTTGCATGGATGGGACAGGCTGCAGGTGAGCAGCCAGGTGATGGTGGGCTGGTGTGCTGCGTGGGGCAGCCCCTGCCTTGGGTTTGGTAGAGCCAGCGGGGCCACCAGGCCACGTGTGGGCCACCAGAGTCAGGCTGGGGCTGCAGGGCTGAGCCTTGCTTTTCCTCCTTGGCTTTGCACATTCTGGGGTGCTCCATGTGCCCTGGGGTGCTCCGTGCCCACCTGCAGCCATTCCCAAAGGAGCAATGGAAGGGTTTTGCACTGCAGCTCTTCCAGCTGCTCTGTCCCGTGTCCCTTTGCCGATGAGTTGTCCCAGTGGGGACCCCCTATGGTATCTCTGCTCAGGGGCTGCGTCTTTCTGAAGGTGCGGTGATTT